ACTTTGTGAAGAATTCTGCTGAAATACTGCAATCCCTATTGGCTGTGTTGGCTCACAGGTGAGGTTTTCCAAACAGCTAGAGGCACAGCTGTGCTGAATACTTCCAGACGGTGCAAAGTCCCGGAGGTCCCCACATGAGAACTGGAGGGACCTGAGTAGAAAACACACGGCACATTATTACTTACATCGTTTGCCCAGGAGCCGGCGATGAGGAAATTCCCTGGCAAGGTTGGCGGGCTGAAGGACAGGCAGGAGATGCTGTCGTCCGGCGGTGAGCTGACCTCTATGTCCTGAGTACAACACAAGCAATAGTTAGAGACGGGTCCAGAATTCCCAGCGGACAAACACCGAGACATCACCGGGAGCTCACCTTCATAGGGTTGTGGTTATCAGTGGTGGTGCTGCCAAACATACTGGTCCCTCCGGTGCCAAAACCAGCTGTGGTGCCAAACAGACTCATCCTGGACCTGCCAGAGCCAAAAACGTGATGTCAGCGACTCAGTGACATCATACTGAGAGAGGGAAGTTCTTGGAGCTGGCCTTGTCCCACTTCTTCTGTGGCCTCACCACCCCTGTGGCCCCTCCTCCACTGCAGCCCCTCCCTCCTATCACAGATCCCACTCCCCCAGGGCCTCTCCTGTTACTAGCCACATCCCTGCTGTCACCGGTCCCTCTTCCTCTGCCGCCCAACCCCTCCTCTCACAGGCCTGGCTTCCCCCAGGGCCCCACCCCTTCTGCCACCGGTCCCTCTTCCTCTGCAGTCCCACCACTCCTGTCACCATTCCATCTTTGACTGCGGCCCCACTCCTCCCGACACCGGCCCCTCTTACCCTGCGGCCCCACTCCGCTCGACACCGACCCCTCTTACCCTGCGGCCCCACTCCGCTCGACACCGACCCCTCTTACCCTGCGGCCCCACTCCGCTCGACACCGACCCCTCTTACCCTGCGGCCCCACTCCGCTCGACACCGACCCCTCTTACCCTGCGGCCCCACTCCGCTCGACACCGACCCCTCTTACCCTGCGGCCCCACTCCGCTCGACACCGACCCCTCTTACCCTGCGGCCCCACTCCGCTCGACACCGACCCCTCTTACCCTGCGGCCCCACTCCGCTCGACACCGACCCCTCTTACCCTGCGGCCCCACTCCGCTCGACACCGACCCCTCTTACCCTGCGGCCCCACTCCGCTCGACACCGACCCCTCTTACCCTGCGGCCCCACTCCGCTCGACACCGACCCCTCTTACCCTGCGGCCCCACTCCGCTCGACACCGACCCCTCTTACCCTGCGGCCCCACTCCGCTCGACACCGACCCCTCTTACCCTGCGGCCCCACTCCGCTCGACACCGACCCCTCTTACCCTGCGGCCCCACTCCGCTCGACACCGACCCCTCTTACCCTGCGGCCCCACTCCGCTCGACACCGACCCCTCTTACCCTGCGGCCCCACTCCGCTCGACACCGACCCCTCTTACCCTGCGGCCCCACCCCTCCCGACACCGGCCCCACCCCTCCTGTCACCGGTCCCTCTGATCCTGTGTCCCCTCCTGTCACCGGTCCCTCTGACCCTGTGTCTCCAACTATCATCAGCCCCTCTTCCCCTGTGTCACCGGCCCCTCTTACCCTGTGTCCCCTCCTGTCACCGGTCCCTCTTACCCTGTGTCCCCTCCCGTCACCGGCCCCTCTTTCCCTTTGGCTCCTCTTCCCCTTCGGACCCTCTTCCCCTTCGGACCCTCCATGGACAGCCAGCTACAGGAGCTCCTGTACAGATTCTCAGGCTGCCCCCTGGGATGACAGCACACACTATACACAAACCAGTCAGAGCAGCAGAATCACCGGGGGAAATCTGCTCACATCCCATAGAGAGGGAGGTGCGGGCAGGACCCCAGTGCTGTAATATGCACACCACACCCACACATGCTGGCTCCCATTCTACAGCCCGGGAAAGGGAATACACGGCTCCTAATGAGGTCTCCTGGGTAATCCCGGGGCTATGTGCCCTCCCTCACCGTATACTCACCCGAAATTCTCCCGCCCGACACCACCAGGCGAAGCGACACCGGCGCCAATCACTCTACACGCGACACGTGACGTCACATCTGCGCCGCTCTGACACTGACACACAGCGCCACCTGCCGGCCGGAGCGGGGAACTGACACACAGCGCCACCTGCCGGCCGGAGTGCTAACTGACGCTCAAAGGGAGATACGAGACACTACACAAGTAATAAATCATTTCGGTATTTCGTTTTACAAAGCACTGTGTACAACAAACAATTGCCTTTGTCGATAAAATACTTTTTACACACTTTTTAACCATTTGTTACATCTCATTGCTGCTGATCTTTGCAGCCTCTTTCTGTCTACATGCACCCCGAGCATGACTGGATGTCATTTCTCAGGGGGGTTTCCTGGTGGTGACAACAGTGGACCATGTCTGTGTAATGTGCATCAGCACTGCTGCATTTAGTCTCCAGTGGGGGAGAATGTGACAGGGTGACAACGCAGGAACACAAATAGCAGACAGGGACAGAGCGTTGTCACCCTATAACATGAAGTGTCTGACAAGGACCCTCATGTCAGGATCACCAGGGATTTTTTTTTTAATGAAAGCTGCAGATTGAAAATGACCTTCGAAATGACACGGACATGTAAAAGCTTCTGAGATATTATTGAATCGGTGACTGATGGGGGTGGATGGGAAAAGATGGGAGGTGGAGCCTGATACCTGGGTGTCTTTAATAAGGATATCCCTAGTTTATAGAAGCCCAGGTAATGGCCATGGGTAGGCGCACTGCCATCAAGTCACCATTCATTGAGGAGGATGTCTTTACCTATTCACATTCAAGTGATGCCCAGCCATGGGCACCGGGATGGTGGGAGCCCCTCATAATGGGCACAGCAGGTGTACAGACCCGGGAACTCAGCACAGGGATGGTGGGAGTCCCTCATAATGGGCACAGCAGGTGTACAGACCCGGGAACTCAGCACAGGGATGGTGGGAGCTCCTCATAATGGGCACAGCAGGTGTACAGACCCGGGAACTCAGCACAGGGATGGGGGAGTCCCTCATAATGGGCACAGCAGGTGTACAGACCCGGGAACTCAGTACAGGGATCTCAGCATAATGGTCCTGAAGGGGAAGAGGGAGCAATAACAATGAAATGAATGGACACACCTGTAGTATATGTTCTATATGGAACTGTAATATTGATCAGGTCGGTTTACTTCAAGTAACTTTATTGTTCATGAAGAAACAACCAGAATAAACACAATGGATGAAGAAACATTTCATGTAACGGATCTGGGCCATTCCTTCCTCCGATCACTACATCCCCTACTCGGACCTCCGAGTCACATACCTCCATGCGTCTGCGTCTCATGCGTCTGTATTTCACTTTCCGAGAGACAAAATGAAGAACTCCAAACACAAAGAAAACTTTGTAACAAGCCAAACGTTTCCGAGGTGTGAAGGTGCCGCCTCAAATCCAGCCGCCATATTGCAGCTTGTTGGGTAGGTAGACTCTGGAGAGGTAGGTGGGCGACAGAGACGTCAGAGACTGAATTTCTGCTTTCATTTTCCTCAAAGTCATTATCTCCAGCTGGAAAGAGCAGAGGGACATTAGATGTGCTATGAGCAGGACCCTCATACCTCCTGTTCCCTGTTAGACATCAGGTGTAATAAGCAGGACCCTCATACCTCCTGTTCCCTGTTAGATGTAAGCTGTAACAAGCAGGACCCCCATACCTCCTGTTCCCTGTTAGATGTAAGCTGTAACAAGCAGGACCCCCATACCTCCTGTTCCCTGTTAGACATCAGGTGTAATAAGCAGGACCCCCATACCTTATGTTCCCTGTTAGATGTAAGCTGTAACAAGCAGGACCCTCATACCTCCTGTTCCCTATTAGATGTAATGAGCAGGACGCTCATACCTCCTGTTCCCTGTTAGATGTAAGCTGTAACAAGCAGGACCCCCATACCTCCTGTTCCCTGTTAGATGTAATGAGCAGGACGCTCATACCTCCTGTTCCCTGTTAGATGTAAGCTGTAATGATCAGGACCCTCATACCTCCTGTTCCCTGTTAGATGTAAAAAGCAGGACCCTCATACCTCCTGTTCCCTATTAGATGTAAGGTGTAATGAGCAGGACCCCCATACCTCCTGTTCCCTGTTAGATGTAAAAAGCAGGACCCTCATACCTCCTGTTCCCTGTTAGATGTAAGGTGTAATAAGCAGGACCCTCATACCTCCTGTTCCCTATTAGATGTAAGGTGTAACAAGCAGGACCCCCATACCTCCTGTTCCCTATTAGATGTAAGGTGTAATAAGCAGGACCCCCATACCTCCTGTTCCCTATTAGATGTAAGGTGTAATGAGCAGGACCCCCATACCTCCTGTTCCCTATTAGATAGAAGGTGTAATAAGCAGGACCCCCATACCTCCTGTTCTGAATCAGACTGTAATCTATTAGAACCATGACTCCCATATCTTATACTGATTATAATGTATACACATGTACAGCAGCACAGAGCTCCAGAGTGACAATGACAACCCCTCCTAGACACAGAGAGATCAGACATCCTCCATGCAGACACACCTCTCTCTTCCACAGCGGCTGGCTGGCAACGTACGGCCTCTTCTCCAAACTGCGCAGTTTTTTCTGGTCCTCCTCCGATAATGGGATCAAGGCCCGTTGGGGGACGTTTAACCTGAAACAGACAGAGGGACGTATTAGAAGACTGTAATTATCGGCCGCAGGATGTCAGGTAATGCAAACCACTGACGGGAAACCCAGCAATGACTTCACTAATCAGATGTGAGATGTTCTGCCAGACTCTAATAAGAAACACATTCCTCACCGCAATACAGCAGCTTGTTCCTGTTAGGGTCAGCAAGAACCTGTATTTAAAGTGGACATGACACTTATACAAAAGGTGGACATGCTGGGATTTGCGGTCCTTCAGCAGCTGGTGGCTGTAGGGCGGGGGGGGAGTGATGAGTGTGCCTCCTGATGTCATCAGACCCAGCCCACAATAGCTGCTTGCAGTGTGAGATCACCTAAGGCGCTGCTGCCTATGGCTGCAAGCCTCGGGAGATTTGGTGATGTCACTACTGTGCTGCTCACTCTGACATGAGGAAGCAAAGCCCTGCCTCTACCAAGATGGCCGCCTCCACACAGAGAACAAGGCATGGTAAATCAGTAATGGGTAAAAAGATCAACTGCAGGAAGACCACAGGCAAATCTGATGACTAGTCCTCTGCCCTTTGCTTGCCTTTTTTGGGGTTTCCAGCACTGGCGGAACTACCAGGGTCGCAGCGGTTGCAATTGCGACCGGGCCCTGGCATTCTGCCTTTTGGAGGGGAGGGGGGAGCAGAGAGAGGATAAAGAGGGCCCGCAGCTCAATCATGTAGTCCCCCTCCCCGATAGTGCCGTCCCTTTCTTGCCACCCGCAGCAGTAGAAGCGGGGACAGGTACAGGCTGCTGTGTGGGGATGGAAAGGCTGTACAAGTGATCATTCACCTGTCCAGCAGAATGTGCTGCAGGCACCGCAAGGCAGCACATTCTGCTGTCTGGGAGAGGACCCTCTCTACTTATTCCCGCCCCCTCTCTACTTATTCCTGCCCCCTGACCGCCAAGAAGAAGGTGCTGCAGGAGTCAGGTGAGTCTGGTGTGGGTGAAGGCTGGACCGGGGCAGGGGGGTTGTGAGAAGCTGGTGGTGTTCAGCATTGCTGATTTCCTTTATAATGTATTGCTGGGACATGTAGTGCTGCATAGCTGGTGGTATTCTGCATTGCTGTATAATCATTGCACAGCAATGCAAAATGGCTTAATGGTATCGGAGACATTAAATGGTGTGTTTGTTGACCAAAAAGAGATCCAAAGTACCCTGATGGGGGGCTGCAGGAAAATCACATCAATGGAAGGCTGTATGGAAGCTGTGAATATATTGCCCAGTTACAACACACAATGGACCAGATTCTGGTGGTCGATCGAGCCCCTAGGTGGCGGATTGTTCAGTTTCTCGCTATCGCTCGCAATCGTTTTCCAGATTTCCTGCGGCTCGAAAGTGTTTGAAAGTGAATGAAATCCTGCCGGGTGAATGGCCAGCTTTTGTCCTCTTACAATCTCTATGATCATTTATCAGTGTCGCGTTTCTCTCACCTCTCTATGTCGGAAGGCAGCAAGCCGAGCCAAGCTACAGATGGCACGGTTAAATGATGAGCCTCGAAGGACATGGACTGCAAGATAATGCGCAATAAGTGTTAGTGGTGGCAAGTAACCCCTGGACTCTCAACACAAGTCTAAAGAGAACCTGTTTCCAAGTCATTTTTCACAGCCGATAGCTGTTTTTTTAATGTGCTTCCTGTCCTGACTTCTATCTGTGACTTCCATAAGAAACCCATATCCTGAATTGTATGGAAGCTGTGTATGGAAGACCATTCACCTTCCGGCCCACTGGTAAGCATACCAGTTCACATTGGTTGTGGCGCTTCCCTTTTGTTTTGTTATGACAATCATTATGACCCCCCCCTCCATTTTCTAACCTTCAAATATGGAACTTTTAATGCCTGGTGACCCTGCTATGAAGATTCTTGTTGTAGAGTGGCAACAACGCTCTGGGCCTGTCTCCCTGTTGCTGCCCTGTGTTGTCAACCTGTTCAATGGACATGGAGACTATGAATGGGCATATCCCACCCAGGGGCGTCCCGAGGCTGGGTGACACCCGGAACGGTAACCGACTGTCATCCCGCCGAGACGTCACTGCGCATGACGTCATCGCGCACTCGATACAGTATTCTGATACCTGCCGGCGGCCATCTTAGTGATGGACGCCGGCAGAGAGAGAAGGGGACAGCCACCCGGCAGGATAAGGTATGCCGCCGGGTCCCCTCCTCTCTCCTGATACTGTCGGGCGTTCGGTCCATGACCGAGCACCCGACTTTTCAGAGAGGGGTGACACCAGAATGACTGACTGAGTCATTTTGGTGTCACCCCTTCAATGGTGTCACCCGGGTGTGGGCTGCACCCCCCTTGTGACGCCACTGATCCAACCTCAACCTAACCACAGAACCATCACATTCTCAAACAATTCCTCCCCACACAGCTACCTCCTCATGTATCACTTCCCCCTCCCTTTTAGATTGTAAGCCCTCAGGGGCAGGGCCCTCCTTACCATCTTGTCTTCAATTGTATTGTAATGTCTTCCTTATATTGTAAAGTGCTGCCAAAACTGTTGGAGCTATATAAACCCTGTATAATAATAATTTCAACAAGCATGGTAAACTGTTCTCGCCATCGGGAACCCCACCATAAGAAATGCCATGCATCCATCATAGGAGTGCATGCAGACAGGAAGTGGATGAGAGGAGGACAACGGCCGATGCAGAACCCACAACGGCCGATGCAGAACCCACAACAGCTATCATTGCAGAGCTCCCAGCTGACCTGCACTGGACTCCTCCAGGAACGGTCTGTCTCAGCCACTTCCTCTCCCCCAGGACTACGTAGCTGGAAAATGATGCTTTTGCTTTACATGTACTCACCACAGATCCATACTTGTAGATGCACATTATCTCTATCCCTGGTACAAACAGAAAACACTTGCATTATATGGGATATATATATATATATATATAGGTGGTTGCTTTAATCTAATCACATGCTATCGACGCCTCTCACCACCAATCAGAATACAGTACCGTGTGGGTCGCAGTCCACCAGAGCGAAGATCGGAATCTGAAAAGTGTCCCACAGCTTGCGGACAAAGAACCTGGTGTTGAGATCTGGAACCCCTTTACCCTGGCAGCAAGACACAGAAAGTTACAAGCCAGGGCCGGAGCTCTGCCCGGGGGCCAACAGAGTCAAATCTTACCGTGATGAGGATGCAGGGGCCGCACTTCCCGCAAAAATCGTCATCGAGGAGCCGCTGGAAAGTGGCATCTTTTTCAATAATGAGGACAAAGCGGGCCTGGGTTCTCATGTCTCTGGGGTGAAGGAGGTAAAACCATGGGAGATCAGCAAATCTAACAAAGATACTTAGGTGGAACTCTAGACAAATGATTTTTGGGATTTGGACTTTGGATTGTAGATTGGATCGGATTTGTCCTGCTTTTGCTTCTGTTTGCGTTCACTTTGAAAAGAGTTTCTCCTTCTTTATGCCTTCCTATTGGCCAGTGAGGCCAAGACTTTGCAGGGGTTATAGAGGACCCACGTCATTGGGGCTTCAAATTTCCACCAGATACTCAGACTGCAGAGAACTAGGGTTGCACAGATACCAAGTACAGTGCTCGGTACAAGTACAGATACTTTTCCAGCTCCAGGACTAGACTAGAGAAAAATTCAAAAGTTAGGAGGCCGCTGTCATGTGTAAGGAGCACACGGAGCTCCCGGGATTTGTACATCTCTGTTTTAATGTACGATTTTGTTTTTATAACTATAAATAAAGGGATGCACAGATACCAGTTTTGCGAGTACTGGTACTTGCCGAGTACTTACAAGTACGAGTACTGATACATTTTTGTTTAGTGTCATGTGACAGTTTTTCTAAAACAATATTGACTTATGATTCCAGGACAGTGGTGGAGCGCCAGAGCCCGGTCCCAGCTGCAACCGCTGCAACCCTGGTAGTTCTCCTGAAAATGCCAAGTATCTGCACTGGTACTTGAAAAGTATCGGTGCATCCTGTAACATGGTGCCAGTAAAACCTGCCAGGTTGGCAGGAAAAGTGATAGATGGTAGATGCATTTCTCCACGGATCCTTAGATTCATCATCTAAAGGTAATGCCAGCATAGAATTGGAGGTAAAGAAAAATAGCTCTTTACCTTGTATTGGTAAAACAAATCCTGGGGCTGGTGTTACTAGGAGTCTGATAGAGCTCTGGGTGGGACAGACTCCTAGTTCCATGGACCGTAGTTTAGTGAAGACTGCACAGGACTTCATTAGTGTGCAGCTGCACCTAGCTTGGGGGAAGTGTGTGTGTCTCAGTGCAAGGAGAGAGTGTGCTGAATGCAGCAAGTTATGTGTTTGGAGCCCAGCCTGTCAGCAGGACAGGGTTCTGTGGATGGACTGTAACTGTTCCCCTAGAGGAAACGGACCCAGCTCAGCGGACTATCGCTAATACCCAGTAAGGCTCAGTGGAGCGGACTTTTATTTATGACAATTAAAATTTTTGGGCTGGATGCCTGTAACCTTTTTTCTGTCAATTGATTGCTGTCTGGAATTAACCCCTTCGTGACTGATGACATACAGTGTACTTTGCCAGCATCGGGGCTATTTAAACAGACTCCCGGCGACTTTTGCCGCCGGGACTCTAAAAAAAAAAAGCTTTTTCAATTAAAATGAAATAAAATAAATCTAATAATAATAAAAAATGTTTTTTTTTAAAGTCCCCCGCCCCCGTGAGCACGCACATCATTAAATTAAATTTTTCACTAAATGTTGGGGTTTAATAAAGAGTTGCGCTAATATTGCGCAACATAAAAATTTGCAACTACCACCATTTTATTCTATAGGGTCTTGGCATTCAGAAAATATATAATGTTGGGGGGTTTTAAGTCATTTTCAGGCCTAAAATGTGGAATATAACATGGGTGCAAAAAATGAAAAAAGGGCCTCAGTCATGAAGGGGTTAAAGCTGGCATTTTTGTTTGAAGAGACTGTGAGTTTGCCTCTACATTGAGACTGGTTCCCTACGGAGAGAACCGTGAAGATGCATTGTGGAATCCCCGTAGCAGCTGGTTGAGGCAGGTCCCTTGTAACCCCCAAAACTTGTTGGCTTCTAACAGACCTTTTTATCAATAAACTGACCTACTTGGACTTAACCTCGACTCCTACACTCTTTTTGTTCTACATTTACTATTTCATATATAGCTCACCTGAGACGCAATATAGTGGCCCTTTGGTTTGAGAACTGCTTTACTAAACTCATTGGGGAGGGGGGTTATCAAAACTGGAGCAGACAAAAATCTGGAGCAGCTGTGCACGGCAACCAATCAGCTTCTCTTTTCAGTTTGTTCAGGTAAGATTTGAAAATGAGAGACAGAGATGCTGATTGGTTGCCGTGCACAGCTGCTCCAGATTTTTGTCTGCTCCAGTTTTGATAAATTCATTGTTATTTCACTCTAAGGCCTTATAGAAGAAGATCGAGAATCGAGTGTCACCGAACCCGCTCAACCTATTGCACATGGCAGGCAACAGAAAGGTAAATGGGTGAGGTAAGGAGGGTCAGAGATTGACCATGAGGTATGGATTTTGGGGATCCTGAGGTGCTCTGGTGACAGCCTGGGCATGCACGCTATCATCAGAAGAAGACAGAAGATACTCTATGGACACTGAGGACCTGTGGACACAACAGCTCACAAAAAAATGAGGTTTTAGCACTTCAATGGGGTGCAGGCAGGCAACTCAGGCCAAGGGAGTGGTAAGTACAATACCTCTTCTTTTGCAAGAACCTGTTTTTAAGATTTTTGGAGGCAACAGTGTCACTTTGAGAAAGGTTTCTAATCACATCCCCGATGTACAGATGGCCACCATAAGAAGCATTAAAGGATAAGTGCACTTTAAAACAGAACTCCAGGCAAAACTGTTCTTAACCCTTGCAGTGAGGCTACCCCCACCCCCACACTGCAAGGGTTAAGAGCTCATTTTTGTCTAGGTGCTAAAATAAAAAGTTATACTCATCTGATCCCCTGAGCTGGCTTGCTCTTAGACCAGCCCCTGGAGCCTCTCTCTTTGCCTTACCCCGTGAGTCATTATGTCCTATACAGTGCATGGGACGTGAGGACGTTGAAGGACATACTATCGCTGGAGCAGAGGAGGATACAGGCTGGATGGAGCGTTGTGACAGCCGGCTGGCTCCGTGGTTCAGATGTGTATAACTTTTTTATAACAAAAATGAGCACTTAACCCTTGCAGGGCAGGGGTAGACTCACAGCAAAGGTTAAGAACAGTTTTGCCCAGAGTTCTGCTTTAAGACAAAGTAAACTTATCTATTTTGCCCTGACCTTACCTATACCCCCCCCCCCCCCCCCCCCCCCCCCCCCCCACACAACACCA